TCATCATCATCAATCATCATCATCATCTAATACACCAACCATCATCATCACAACCATCATCATCATCATCAATCATCATCATTATCAATCATCATTATCAATCATCATTATCAATCGTCATCAATCACCATTATCAATCAACATTATCAATCATCATTATCATCATCATCATCATCATCATCATCATCATCATCATCATCATCATCATCATCATCATCATCATCATCATCATCATCATCATCATCAGTCATCATCAGTCATCATCATCATCATCAATCATCATCATCTTCACCATCATCATTATCATCATTATCGTCATTTCTAAATTTACACACACACACAAACATACATCCTATAAGTTTAAGTGAACATCGCCGAACAATTGGATTAAATTTTGTGGGTAAGCAAAATTAAAAGAAATATTGGTTATTAAGCCTAATACAGACAAGATTTTCTTTTCACTCCTCTCATTTTTTCTTTTTTATTTTGCTTAAATAATGAAATGATATAAATAGCATTAAAGGTTGCTCGCTGCTAGTCAGTCACTGATAATGATGGCGATAACAACAGTAATGATCATGATTATGATAATGGTGATGGTGACAATGACAGTGACATAGCCGCTTGATCAGGGCGGGATAATTGATGATGAAATTGATGATGACGATAACGATGATGGCGACGATGATGACGGCGATAATGATAATGATGAATGAGTGAATTCATTCTCCACTTTTCAGTTTTCAAACTCATTTTACTTCAGTCTGCTTCACAGTGCAATTCAATTCTTCATTTTTTTTTCGTCGCGGCATACATTCACTATCACCAGGTTCGTATAAGGGAGACGGGGCGGAGAGTGTGGCGGAATTATCAGCTTTATCACCAAGTGGCTTTTACTTTCGTTCCTCGTTTCCTGCAAACTCCGCACAATGAATCTTTAAAATTTTTTTGTCATTAATTCCTGAGAAAGGAGACAGTGTTAGATAGTATTTCTCTCCTTAAAAAAAAACATCGCTCTTTCTCACTTACAGTTTTCTTTTTCTTTAATGTTGTGACACATCCGAGTAGGAACAACAATGCGCTCATTCAATGACGACTAATTTCTCACCATTCTCCGCTTCCACAAGGAAAGTTACTTGATGAAGAATGAACCATGCAGAAAGAGAGTTATTAACTACCGTAGTCGGTAGATTTAACGATGAAGAGGACCCTCCTTCTCACCGCTTGGCTAAATTAAAAAACATTCGTCTCGTCTTGACGTTGCGTTTGTCGCGGTCGCTTCTAATGTCATCTGTCCTTTCTGTTAGACATTCAACCAATCTATTTTGGAAGGCTGGCAATTTTCTCGAGCGTAGTTATTTCCTACTTTTGTGTCGCCGGCTAGCTAGGATAGGTGGAGGTTGGAGAAAAAGGCTGAGACAAACAACGGCTCAAACAAAGAGCTACTGCGGTAGTGCCACACCCTCCCATCGACGACGACAGGAAAGACACATGCAAACTGAGTGGATCCTTCCTCATCCACCAATGGTTCACTTCGTCTGTCCATCCCATCTATCTGGATTTAGCCAACTAACTAACTAGTTATTGGTAGTTATTACCTAGCGGCTAGAAGTGTTCAGTTTTTGCTTCTAAAGGCTATTTAAAAGGCTTTCAGGTTTAGCTCAAGCCTCAGTGTAATCTGAAAAGTAATAACTAAGTTTAGTCATAGTCTTCACTCCTAGACCATTGCACAATCGCTACTGTTCAGTTCTATCTTATAATGTTCGGATCTATAAGGTATGGCAGTACCTTTGCATCCGAGAACAATTGCTGAAAGTTTAAATTGGACGAAAGAAAACTAAAAAATTTCTTCCACTCCGTTTTTGTTCTTTCTTTCCGATATGGACCATCAACTTCCCGTCTCATTGGGAACATTTCTTCATCCTTCATTCAGTTCCAGTTTGAAAACAACAGCGAATAGCGTTGGACATTAAAAAAAAAAGAGACTTCCATAGTCTGGCCTAGCCCATCTACATGTTGCAAAATAAGCATCGAACATGGAAAAAATAGTCTTCCGTAATGTACAAGACTGAAAGATTGTCACTGTCACTTCCCTTGGCTTGTGTAATCGGGACTGTCTATTCTTTTCGATTAGAATACTTCCAGATCATCACTGTCTATTCCGCTTGAAACCCATTCGAATGATATATGTTACTTCGCAATTTTTCAATTTTTATTTTAGCCAGATGATGTCAAATTGATTCCTCCACATTTCTAAAATTTCATTTATCCATGTTCGATTCTTATCATTTTTATCAGTTTCTTTTCTCAGCTCTACTCATCTCCCCTTCCATGGATTGAGAAGCTGTAATACTTAATTGAGAATTTGGCAGTGTTTAAATTTCCATACCACCACCTCATACTGTATAGTTTAACGGTGGGAAAAGAGCCAAACTATCTGGAGGGACGGAGCTTTCCGACATTTTATGGCCAAGTTACATGAGCCAAACTGCTTATTCAGATATGTCACTGAGATTACTGGATGGTTGTTAAATCACAACTTCTCTTAAAGGTACATAAGAGACTTGTCAATTCCGTCATTTAATAGAAGAAACTTATAGATTATAGATAATAAATTATAGATAAGTATGCATAATTCTCAAATCTTTCACAGCTTACTTCATCTATCTTACACGACCTGTACTTTTTACAAAGTAGTATAAATTCTATTCCATACGTGTTATAATTGATTATTTTATTCCTCAACAATAATGCAGAATGGAATATTGAGAGATTACTTGTTTCAGACATTTGCTACCGTCTCATTTTTTGATGTAAATGTTTAGCCGATAAGTCACTGACAAAAATTAATTATTACTATCCTCTACTATTGATTATCTCTGCAACATGTATATTTACAACGGCAAGTACCAAATTCCGTAGATACTTTTTCATTCAGTGTAATATTACCTATAATGCATTAAGAATTTAAATCCTGATTATCAGATGCCAATAATTCGTTCCCTTACCTAATTTGAGTTAGCGGCCTCACTTACTAATTATCTCGCTAATAAAATGGAAGCTGTGATTTTGAAATTTTACCGATTATCTAAATGATGCGTTATGAGTAGTATTAGTAGTACGATATCAGTTGCTTGTTTTGAATCCATCATCTTCGGGAATGAAATCCTAGCAAAAGATAATTTTGAAAATGCACAGCAGTGGTAATGATATGAAGACTTATGTTCCATAATAATAATAAATAATAATAATAATAATAATAAATAATAATAACAATAATAAATAACAATAATAATAATAATAATAATAATAATAATAATAATAATAATAATAATAATAATAATAATAATGAAGTAGTTTAAGCAAGTAACAATGAAATGATCTATTGGATGAAAGCTAAAAAGTACGGGAAAAAGATTAGAACGAGAAAGAGGATAACTGAGGAAGGATGTTGAAAAAATGGATGAAAAAGAGGAAAAATATTGAATTTTCAATTCCTTCATTCATCTTCTTCATTTTCATTCATTTAAAATATCATATTATTTCATTGTATGTATTGCTTTCAATGTTTCTAATTAATTAATTTACTTGCTTGTATTCTGTTCGATGATACATTTCGAAATGTGTTTTGGTTTGTTGATAATATGAGAGTTATTGAAGAGATAGAAAAGATGTTTGAGTTATGAAGTTAAAATGAGAGGAAATGGATGAAGGAAAAATGAGGAATGAAGGAATGAAAGAAGGAAGAATGATCGGAATTGTTTT